TTTTCAAAATAAAACATCTTTCGTATTCCGAAATAAATAAAACGGAATTAAGGCAAGTTCTTTCTGTGCGGCCCGGTACCAAATGCCCGGCGGACCGGTACCGGTCCGCGGACCGGCGGTTGGGGACCCCTGCTTTGGACAACCTAAAATGCACTCAAAATGTAACAATATCAACAAATCTCAAAATTGGTCTATTCAAATCTAACACTGCACACATCTCCAGGCCGAGTCGGGATCTCGAAAAGGGGTTAGAGGATAAGTCGGACGGCAAAGTTCCGCTCGTGTGATTTCGGGATGTAGTGTATGAAAAGAAGAGCGGTTGTGTCATCAAACGTTGGTGAGCTCCTCGGCTTCGTCTCTGTTCTCATTGATGTCGGCCAGAGTCCTGACGAAGCGCGTCCACTCGTCAACCTTGGGCACGCAGATTTGCTGAAGAAAAGATGAAAGACGATGAAAAGCAGCTGCCAACGGCAGAGGTGATCAACTAACCAACTTTGCTGCTGTGCTTAAAGGGGAAGGAAGTCAAACATCAAATTTTCTTTGGGATATGTTCTATGCAGCCCCAATAGTCTACAAACGGTATTCTGATTAATATTGCATTTGTGGAATATGACTATGAACAAAATCCACCCGCTTTTGTCCATTTCAGGGGGGTCCATTTTGTCACTCCCTCGGGGGGCTCAGGTAAGGACTAATGACGGCTCAGCTTGCGAGCGTCTCATGGAGAACAAACCACGTTTGGAATGTGCTCATTTAGTGCCTGCTTTCGCTCACCTCGCCCACATCGTACACCTGCACTTGTCCCTCAGAGTCTCCGGTGGCGATCTCTTTTCCGGAGTGAGCCCACCGCACTCGGTTCAGCGCTGGAGCCCCTTCCACATACACGCTGGCAGTGGGAACCTGGTGAACAATAAGCGGTGCTACTGTGAGAAGACCACCTAAAGCCTCCCACCACCCCAAAAACGGAATGTTACGATCAGTTCCACTGAGTCCTCTTCTTGTGGGCGTACCTCTGTGTCACTGTTGAGGTTCCACAAGTCCAGACGTCCGGCGAGGTCCACGCAGGCGAAGAGTGCAGGGTGCGTCGGAGACCACATGGCATCGTACACGTAGTCGCAACTGTCCTCGAAGGAGTACAGCGGGCGGGTGCTCTGCGTGGAGGAAATTGATTGGCAAGAATGAGAGAAAAAAAAAAACAACAAAAAGTCATATCCTGACTGCTATTTGGAAATGCACACTGTAAGTCTGCGGTTTTCAGTCCTGTTCCTGGAGGGCCATCGTCCTGCCTGTTTTATATGTCCACCTGCTGCAACACATCCGATCGCTAAATCAGCAACACAAATGATCGCTAAATCAGCGAGGTCTGCAGGTGCTGGATTACGATCTTGCGGATCATTTGAATCAGGTCAGTTTTGCAGCAGGGAGAGATGGAAAACAGCCAAGACAGCAGCCATCCAGGCACAGGATTGAAGATAACTGCCATTAAGTCACCTTGGTGCTCCACAGTTTGACAGTCCAGTCGAAAGAAGAGGAGATGAAGAGGTGAGAGAAGTCCACAGGTCCTGCTGCGGTATGACAGCTTAAACCCGTCACGGGGCCGTGGTGGCCCTCGAATACCTCGGTGATGCCCGCCTTACTGAAAGGCAAACGCAAAACAACAGAATCAGCCTGGTGGGAAAGACAGTGGCAGCCCGCGCATTTTGGTGCCTTGGCCCTCAGTGGGGACTTTCATCCATCCATTTTCTGATCCGCTTCATTCCACAGGGGTCGCGGGGTGTGCTGGAGCCTATCCCAGCTGTCTTCGGGCAGTAGGCAGGGTACATGAACGATGAACAACCATCCACGCTCACACCGAGGGAAAATTTAGAGCGTTCAATCAACCTGGCATGCATGTTTTTGGAATGTAGGAGGAAACTGGAGTACCCAGAGAAAACCCATGCAGGCACGGGAAGAACATGCAAACTCCAGACAGGGAGGCCAGAGCCAGAATCGAACCTTGCACCTCTGCACTGTGAGGTCAACGCGCTAACCACTGGTCCACCGGGCTGCCCTCAGTGGGGACTTAAACGACTTAATCCACCTCTAATATGTCGGCGCGATTATGCAAGGGTCATTCAATAAATCAGTTGAATTTTTCGGTATAAGGACTTCGAATACAGATAGAAGCTTACTTTTTGGAAATTTTTCAAGCATTGTAGTCTCCAAGCACAGTCACGCACTTTTTCCATCTGTGCACAAGCTTCCATATTCTCTCTATATAAACATCTTTGGACGAATGTTTCAGCCAGTTGCTCTCAAAAAACACACACACACACACACACACACACACACACACGTACGAAGTGGAAGCAGTGCAGCCAAGAAAGACGAAATGAAGAGAATAGACTGTTGGCAAAAAATGAATATACAATAGCAAGGAACAAAGAATAGACTTAACGTTGGAAATGTAGCTCAGTGCTTCTGCCCACCACACTAGCCACACTGCCAGCAAGCCATTAACTTTGCTCCGCTCCTTTGTTGGAAGCGCTGCATGATGAGCACACACCTCCCGTGCCGACAGGCGGTGTAGACGGACCCATCCTCGCTGCCCACGACAAAGTTGTTGACGTCGCCGAGCGGGAAGGCCATGGAGGTGACAGCTACTGCCTTGCTCTGCTTGAACACCAGCTCCAGACTGTCCTGTTAGTGGGGGACACACACACACACACACACACACACACACACACACACACACACACACACACACACACACACACACACACCAAAAGACTCTTCCCAACGAATCGTCTTATGTGGATTTCAACAAGGACAAGCGATGCTCATACCTGCGGCTGGGACAACATGTCCAGGCTCCATGAGCACATCTTGCCATCTGTGGAGATGCTGATCAAGTTGTTGGCATTCTGGGTTCCCACCACGTTCACACAGTAAACGGGATGCTGTGGCACAGCAAGAAGCAAGTATAGCGAGCGCGTGTCTATCTTGGTGGGAGGTGGAGCGACACAGACGGGGCATTACAGTGTGTGCAGTGGCAGACAGCGGGGTTCTCTGGACCGGGGTTCGCTTGTTGCTGCGGTTGTCCCATAAGACAATCTGTCCCGAGTAGGTGCCGCCAACAACTAAGTTGGGGTGAAACTTGGCAAAGCCGGCTGACATCACCTCTGACTAAAGAAAGGCACACAAAACAGTCAAGCTTTATCTAGAATATATTTCGGTCAAGGGTGCTTAAACTGGTGATGACGCACAACAGTTTGCAATAAATGACTATGTTGTATCATTTCAAAATGGCCGTCACAGCAGATGAGGACCATCCAATAAAAGAAAGCAACTGGAAGTTCTGATATGATTGTGACATGTAAGATAAAGACGACATCTCTTCTTCTTAGAACCAAAAGGTGTATTATTACAATAGCAATGTGAAAAGGGGCAGCCATCTTCGGGAAATTTTCTGAACAGCATATCATTTGCACTTCAAAAGCCCTTCAGATCCTACATTTGTTGTGCAGATCTCAAAAGTCAAAGTCAAAATTCAGAACTGTATCGTGAAAAACAAATCCCATTTGTAGGACTCGATGCATCCAATACACTCACTATTTTTGCATCCATTTTTTGAATTGCTTACGCTCAGTATGAATTTTTCGAGGCCTCTCTTCCAGGACGCTGTCACATTTCCTGTTTAGCTTTGTGTGTAGCATGATTTTGTCTGAATTTTCTCTCCAGACCCTTATTAAATTGCCAGCTGTTTTGCTGATCAAAGTTTGATTTGTTCCAGCGAGACCCATGCGCTTTCAATTCGGGTCTGTCATGATGACATTACATCAGCTTAGCGATAAGCATGGCTTCTTTGGCTCCCCCTCAGTTAACCCGTTCAGGGACAGCGGTTAGTACAGTGGAAAGCTTATCATCTTATCAGGTTACAGGGTGCATGAAAGGGTTAATTACTCCTTGTAATGCCTTTGTGAGTACCATACTTGGAAGAAGTGCAGCTCATTCGACCACAATAATATCAAGGAGTTCACTTGGAGGACAGCTATGAATTTCGGCCTGTATGATCTCATTTGGATATTTTGGGACTTCTTTCCTCTTTTAAACTGTCTTTAAGATCATAATATACCCTTACTGGATTTTCTTGAGAAAATATGGTCAACATTACAAGATGTACTCTGCATTGTTCATTCGATGCTGTTAGCAGAATGTGAACACCCTCTAACCTGGCAGTGAAAGATGTACTCCGGGGTGTTCTTTTTGTATTTCAAGTTCCAGACCAGCGCTACTCCATCAGGCTCATGGGGAGAGTCCTCGTTGTTGTTGTAGGAGGCCACAAGCAGCTCTGGGTACTGATGAAGCGCAGTCAGCTCATGAGGTAAGAGTCATTCACAGCAAAGGATGAGCAAAGGTGGAACTTCGGCTCACTGACAAATCACTTTGTAAACCAATTTTTAGGACATACAGTGATCCCTCACTAATCGCGGTTAATGGGGACCGGGACCCTCCCGCAGACAAGTGAAAAACCGCGAAGGAGGGTTGCCCCCCCACCGAATCTAGGAATTTTTGTGTATGTGAGTACCAGTGTTTAAAATATGTAAACAGTATTTATACTTTACATATTTGAGACAAAGACAGCGTTACACCTATTTATTTAAATCTTTAATTTTAAAACCTTATACAGTCATTAACATTCATCAGCATTGCCTTCTGAATGAGGCGAAAAGACGTGTGTTGGGAGAGGGGCTCTCACTTGACGCTCCGACAGTGTAGCCGCCGTTAGCCTCCAGCTAGGTCCTGGCCAGCTATCCCGTGCAGCCGATGTGTTTATGATAAGACAATTACCGTATTTTCACAACCATTCGGCGCACCGTATTGTTGGGCGCAGTCTCACTAACGGGTGCTATTTTGGTATTTTACACATAGACAAAACGCACTGTATTATTGGGCGCAGTTTTACAGTGGTAAAACATACGCCAGCTTAAACATACGGCATGCGTGCACGCACGCTAAAAACACGTTAGCTTGAAGCATACGGTAGCATGCTAAGACATACGGATACACGCTAAAAACACGTTTTTAAAAAGGCAACGGAAGCAAAACTGAGTTCAGTTGCATTTTATTTAGCCAGCTTACAATGTACTCACGTTTTTTGATTGATCAAAAAACGTGAGTACACAGTCGAACAAACGTGAGTACACAGTCGAATGGTGACTGTGGAGACGCTTCTGCCGGCTGCTCTTTGATCAACAATCCACCGCTCCAGTTGGTCTTCCAACTCGGGCCACCTCGCCTTCTGTCCACGGAAACTCAGCTTCGTCTTTTTGACTTGGCGAAGCTCGTTCTCCTGCTTCCTCCATTTGCGAGCCATGGATTCGTTGACTTGAAATTCTCTCGCGGCTGCTCGATTCCCATGTTTCTCCGCATAACCGATGGCTTGAAGCTTGAACTGAGCTTTGTAGGCGTGTCTCTTTGTAGAAGTAATTTCGGGGGTTCTTAGAAACCAAAACCGAAGTTGTTTTGCAATAACGCACATATCCACACTTTATACAGGTGCTGGTACCTGCTAGGGGCGTGCCTTTAGCATCCACTTACACGTCCACCCTTCACTCATTGGCGGACTTCTTCGCCGCATGCCTGTCCTCACTCACGTCAGCCTTTTCTCTCTCTCTCTCTCTCTCTCTCTCTTTCTCTCTCTCTCTCTGTCTCTATCTCTCTCGCTCTCTCTCTATTATATATACACGCCCACCCTTCACTGATTGGCCGACTTCTTCGCCGCATGCCTGTCCTCACTCACGTCAGCCTTTTCTCTCTCTCTCTCTCTCTCTCTCTCTCTATTATATATACGCGCCCACCCTTCACTGATTGGCCGACTTCTTCGCCGCATGCCTGTCCTCATTCACTTCCGCCTTTTCTCTATATAAACGCGTGTCGGCTCTCTATCAGGTTTTGGTACTCAGCGCATACACAAGACGCTCCGCATTATAAGGCGTGCTGTCCACTTTGGAGAAAATTTTAGACTTTTAATGGCGCCTTATAGGTGTGAAAATACGGTAATCGGTATTGAGGAGGAGGAGGCGAAGAGAGACGTGCTGCTTTATTTGGACAAGACCAATCACCCTCTCTCTCTCTCATTCACTCACTCTCTCTCTCTGCAGCGCATGTAGCAAACACAACAGCGTGACGAAACACTGATCAGAGAGTCATCAGCTGATGAGACACTGATCAGAGAGTCAACAGGGAAGGTGCTGGGCAGGACTGCGAAGATGTGCAGCCAATCAGCTCACGGGATAAATCCACACGTGCTGTCATTCATAGATGTCGCACCGGGAACCGATCATGCGTACAGTCATGTACCAAACCTCCGAGTCATTCCGCATTTTTTTTTCTGAATACAGTAGTTTGGGGGAAAAAAATGTGAAGCCGCGATAAATGAAGCACGATACAGCGAAGGATCACTGTACAGTGATCCCTCGCTACTTCGTGGTTCGTTGATCACGGGTTCAGTGCATCGCGGATTTTTTCAAACATGTAAAAAAATAAATAAATAAATAAAATAAATTCTTTTAAATATACATGTGGAGTACAGTACTGTAGATGTTGCTCTATGTGACTCGCTGTTGTTTTGCAGCTTCTCGCGGGCCGTTTGCGGACTTTTTGCGGGCTTAAAAAAAAATGTTTTTTTTTTTTTTACCTTTATTTGTTAATTGGCCGCTA